CCATATGGCACCTGATGCCACCTCTGATGTCTTAGAGGTCCGTGTTTGCTCTGCTCTTATTTTGTAATGTCTAGTGGACTTTTAAGCTCGAATACTGTTCATTATCTCCACATAATTCATTCTAATTTAAAATGTCAAAATCAATATATTTTTAGATAAAGTTATTACGTAAACAAGGCACCGCGAAGCGGAGCATCCCCTCGCAAAGAGCATATCTATAAATCAAGACAGTAAACGTAATTTGCATCGGGATCGATGTCGAATGCTGTCTTGATTTATTGATACATGTATGATCTTTGCGAGGGTTGCTCCGTTTTGTTGTGCCCTTGTTCTTTTTCGTATTCAATTTAAATCCTTCATTTAAATTGGCATGGTGTTTATATTAAATTTCTATTTGTGTGTATTTTTGTACGCAAGATACTACACATGTCATTATATAAATAAATAAATTATTCTTACCTAAAGTTGTTTTGCAGGTTATGTTATTACCAAAGATGAAATATGGAAACGAGATTACTTTCATGACGGAACAACTTTTAAAGATCCTTTCTTCTTCACTGCAATTAAAACTGATGCTGAATGTGCCATGTATTGTCAGAGAGATGCTTGCCTTTCGTTCACTGTCTTCAACAACACCTGTAGTGGATATAGAAGAATATTCGATTATTTAGAGTGGTCATATTTAGAACCTGGAGCAAGGCATTTCAAAAAAAGTGTAGGTAGGTTTTCAACCTCCTCCAAAAAACATACGCTACTAAACCCAGGTGATCTACATGTAAAAACACATGAAAAGTTAAGACCAATGTTTTTGTCTATTTTCCATTATTTTTTAATGTTTCACTGAGACATGCCTTACTCATTAACCAAACAATCCAATGTTACTGTCTACAATATTAAACTATCCAAATAATGGTCATTGTCTACAGTGTTTAAGTATGCTAAACATGTAGTTGTAAACTTTAGACTGTCACGAAAATGGATACTTCAAACTTAGCTCGGTCAATGCATGTTATAAAATTTATGAAGACCTGATGAACTGGATGGAAAGTGAAAGAATCTGTAACTCTGACGGCGGCTTTCTGGCCAAGCTTGACACTACTGATAAACTAAACAGCATAAAGACAATTTTGCAAAGCAAGTACATTTTCTTATATAAATTGTTAAAATTTTGTGCATAAAAATATCTAGCAATGAGAAAACAAATTTACAGTGTACGGAAGGCCACTCGGTGTGTATGACTATCTCCTTAGCTCAGTTGGTAAGGACTTTCTTTATACATTATATAAATTCACCTTTTCAAACGAACATAAAATAAAACTGAACTCAGTACATACAATGAAGCGCATGGAAGTGGTAAGTTTGAGTGGAAAGTTTGGGTGTATCTTATATCGAACGTCAATTGCTACATAGCACTGGCGGATTTAGAGGAGGCCCAGGGACCCGCCCCCTTTTGTGTCCAAAATATACATAAGATTTAATAATTTATTTTTTGTGTGTGGCCGTTGGCCCCTATCCCGACCCCAAACTGGTCGAACACGAGTTTACTCGGTGTTTCTGTAGACTGTCAATTTGATTGGCTATTATAATTATATTTATGGAATACTTGTTCAACAGAGGCCTGTTCAACAGCGCGAACGTTCGCGAGCGCTCGCCTGAATTCCTTATCTTTTCAACAGAAATGTTGGCGAGCGCTCGCGAACGTTCGCGCTGTTGAACAGGCCTCAGGTATTCAAATGAACCATTTGCGTTGTTTTTCCCTTCTAAAGAAATGGGCGTGTCATTATATGACAATCAACGTTCTAAAGAAAGCTCAAAACGTTCCATTCAAACGGAGAATTATACCTCTTCAATGCGCTTCAGTGTACCTTAAACAGTTAAACGCATACCAAGGTAACACGCCTGAGTAACTTATTCTACGACCAGTCAGAGATTGGATACACTTGTGAAATAAACATCAAGACTCGAACACGTGTTACTTAAAACGTTTATAAATATATCTCTATGCTATTGATCTGTAAACTGTTTTGAGACATGTGTTTAGAATTGCTTTAAAACCGACAACTTAATCATTCAACCTTTTAACTGGAACAATAATAAAACCCTATATGAAGTTTATGCTATATATTTGATTTTATCTTTAGATACGACAATAATTGAGTACTGGACTGGTCTTCAGGACAAAGAAATGACTGGTGAATGGAAATGGGTCAGTAACCAGGATGTTTTATTGACCAGCAGCAGTCTTTGGAGTTCTAATGAACCTAACGGAGGTGGTTTTGAAAGTTGTGTTGGGGTCCAACGAAATGATGGTCTTTTCGACAACCCCTGTGACGAGAAACCCGCTTTTATTTGTGAAAAATGATATTTTCCTTCTTTTATGATTAACTACTTATGTTGTACTTTTAATGGAACGTTTATTTAACTATTTGTAAAAATAATTAAGTGTAGGTTATATTCTGGTTTTACTATTTATATTTACATGATAATATCTTTATTTATTATTTTTCTCTATTGTTGCCAGCTATCTGATTGGCTCAAATTAGATCACATGATCAAGTATAAAAAGTGTTAGAAACTAGGTGTTTCTATTTTAAGCTTCTAAAAAAAATTATAAACCTGCTGTTTCTAAAATTGATAAGACCGTATAAGCCGAGGTCCCTTAAATTGTCGCAGTAGGTGCTGGCACGAAAAAGATCCCTCACTGCTCAATGGCCCAGAGTGCCGAGTATAGGTCAAAATTTACAGCTCTCCGTCGGCAGGTGGTGGCGTCTCCATATGAGTGAAAAAATCTCGAGAGGGACGTTAAACAATAAACAAACAAGAAAAAAAATCTTGCTGTGGCCCTCAATTTGACATTTAGTTATAATGACGACGACGTACGTTTACCAATTTACAATACTTATGCATGTCGACTGGCTATACCTGAGTTAACTTGAAATAAATTAAAGACGCCTCAGAGTCTTTCACGTAGTTTCATACATGAATGTTTTACTGACAACATGTAGCTCACCTAGACGTTAAAGGTCAACTATAACTACACTATTGAGATACGACACACATGACTACAATATACTAATTTCCATTGTCGACTTCCCTTATTTATGTAGTAATATTCCACTTTCCGCTGCACACGGTGTTTATGTCCCTCAGATGATTCGGTAAGCAAGAGCAAGTTCTGAATACAATGATTTTTTTTTTAAAGCAAGACGCCCTTACCCAAAATATTGCCTTCCTGCAAACATTTGCTGCAAGTCTGCAGCAAACATTGCTGCAAACTTGCTGCAGACATTGCTGCAATGAAGCTAAAGAAACCATGACAGTTTATACAATGCCTATGTGTTTGCAGCAAGTTTGCGGCAAGTATGCAGCAAACATTTTACCATGCAAATGAGGTATGCTGCAAGTCAGCAGCAAATACTGGATTTTCCAGATATGGAAACCTTGCTGCAAGCTTGCGGCAAACATTGCTGCAAGCTTGCGGCAAATATTGCTGCTAACTTGCGGCAAGCAATATGATAATTGTTTTTGGCACAATCCTGCGTACAAGCAGCAAGTCTTTGTCCTGACCTCAATCTGTTAATTATTGAGAAAATCCACCACATGTGTCTGAAATGATTCAAGCTAGTTTCCGAAGTGTTGATAGTCTCTTTTTATGTTCCTAGACAATCTTCACATACTATATTCTTTATGAAAATATAATATGATTATTTTTTTTTTTTGACATGTACAGAAAATTAAAAACCTTTGCACATTAACAATAAAATTTTACAGTTAATACCAATTTACTTGAAAACATATAAACATTTATAATAATTGATTTGGAACGTTTAATACATTTAAAGAAACATACAAATGTGATATTAAAATAAAGATTAAAATTTATAAATAGATTAAGATTTGACCTAGCAAGTACATCAGTTACTTAAACATGCTTTAAAGAGATAATTGTTTCAATTGTTTCAAAAGAAAACAACTAAAATCAGATCTTACCAATTAGATGTTGTGTATGCCATTGTAGACCTACATCAAGAATTATGCTTTTGTAATCATTCAAAATGGTATATCCTAACAAAATACTGAAACATCTACAACTTCAATTCAAACATTTCAAAATGGCAAAATCTGTGTTCTACATTTCATTGGCTAATTTGACTTGTTTACTGTTCTTGCGAACTTCCTGCAAACATTCAATTTGTTAAATGTTTCCTGCAAACAACAGATAGGCGTGTATGTTTCTTGCAATGTTCCTGCAAACATGTTGAGTTCCTGCAAATTTGCTGCAAGCTTACAGCAATTGCTGCAATGTTTGCCGTAAGATCGCAGCTAGCGGCAATCATCTGCGAACAAGAAAACTTTCTTCCTGTGAACATTTTTGTTTGCTGCAAACTTGCTGCAGGTCTGCAGCAAACATAACAGTTTGGTAAGGGCGGGCTAATGACAAATAAGTTGCTACACGGCTCTCTACAATCTCGTTTTAAATCAGCATGTTCCAAGTTTATGGTCATTATAATGACCTCGTTTGCAGAAACAACCTGTGGTCACTGGGTTGTTATTTGACTGACATGTTTCTTGCCAACTTTAAGGTCATTGTCTTTATAAATACTGTTACAACAAATGTTCAACCAGACAATTTTTTTTTAATTTATTTATCTATTTATTTATGAAAAATAATGCAAATTCTTCAATGTAGTGGTAAAGAATTCATGAGGTTTTTGTTGATTCTGACTGAGGATAGTTCAGTGTATGACGTGCACATTCATTACAATACAGAAGATTTTGTCATGATACCCCCCCCCCCCCCAAAAAAAAAAAAATCTTTGAATGATAATCAATGCTATAACCTTTGTCTATATATGTAGTTTTCACTACATTAAATGTTATTAACAAAAAGAAATACTTTCGATAGTAGACTGGCGATTGTATGTGTCAGTCTACAGGAACTCTCCAGCGCTGAAGTTACAAATGGTGGGTCCATGTGTTTTTGTTGTTGTTCGACGCCGATTGTCATCCTGGCATCCGAAAGCACAGCGGAACCTTGTTTTTCTAAACTGTCAGCTGTTTCAAAACTTTTTTATGTTGACTGGATGCAATTCTGCTGAAAAATTTACTTAGAGGCCTCTAATTTATGAAAAGTGACTATCCTGATCTGTTTTAAATGAAAGTTTCATCACCTAGAGGTATTGCATCAGACTTCCATGATTATTTCTCTACTGACATATATTTTAAAAGTACTAGGCCTATATTTAGTTAAATATGTAATTCTTTCAAAAATTTCGTCAATTATTTTTTTATAAGAGCTATTATTAATTTTTTATTGTTGGCAGGGGCATACATGTGATAAGTCAAAGACCACAAAACTGTACAGGAGCCATAAAAAAAACTGGAATTTGGGTGAAAAAACTGTACACTGCCTATCAAAAAACGGTATACAATATCGCTTAAATTCTTCTGATAAGGCACCTTATTTCTAAACCAACAAATATATATTGTTGCAAATGTCTTATTTTAAAAGTTGTAATGGAGATTTGAATGCTTTAAAATTTCATATATTGTGTTTTATAATCACAGTGTTCATATGAATCGACTATAAATTGAGCTAGTTTAAATGATATTTTGTTTGCCAGCTTTATATAGTATTAACGTGAGAGTCAATTTCTCCAATTTACATCTTGTTCATATTACTGATATATACATCAGCAATGCTAAATAACAGCAGCAAATACAATCATACATAAATTTCAGCACATAAAAACTTATAACTAAATCATTTATTTCAGTGTAATCATGGTTATAAACATCGTATATTTTAATACCTACGAAGATCTGGGTCAGATTCATGTATATTAAGTCATGTATATCAACTTTAGAAGTTGGCTTAATTTTTTTCAATCAAGTTACAAAACATTAACAGTTATAATTAAGTACCCTTTTAAAAATAAAGCTACCTAAAGGGGTATCTTGATACGGATTTATAGTGAGATAATTATCCCAATTGGCAGTTCACACCTTCGCACGCGGTGGTTTGTGTACACTACACAATTATCAGAAGGTCAAGTGTCAAACACAGGTGACGTTTTCCAGTGTCTCGTGAGCGAGAATGAGAGGAAAATGGTGGCATTTAGCGAGAAATTCAAATACTGTACAAATTTTCATATTCCATGAATTTTGGTGTCCCGCCAGTACATGATGAATGGGCTCGAAAAACGGTACATTTTGCGTACCGCCGGTATATATCACATGTATGCAGGGGCTTTAAAAAAACTTTAAAAGGTGAATGATGATATGCTGCTGGGCCTAATGTTAACACTGTGAATCATCGAATTGCCCTGTAATCACTGAAATTCCTTATTTTCATTAACAACACATATATTTTTTGCTGTAGATTGCAAGCAGAGAATTCGTTGAGTACCCTGTGATTCCAGAGTTCTATTCAAGTCAGCAATGAAGGTGTCAGAAGTGATGTACTGTAGCTTTCCTGTATGGTATCCAAAATTTAAGCATGTTTCAATGAAGAGGTAATTAAAACAGTAATTAATTATTATTCACTGTACTCCATGTACATACAGTTAACCTTGGTTATATCAAATACTGATATCTTGAATTCCATGGATATGTCGAAGTGATTCCCCCAACCAATTTAATTTTGTTTAATAAGTATTTTACCCTCTATATCTCAATGATTTTCCTTGGTCCCATTGAGTTTGAGATAACAAGGTTTGACTGTCAGTGAATTGTCTTCATATAAGAAAAATTCTTTAGCACATTTTTGTAGTTGTTCAGTACACATATACTAAAATATCTGCATATCAAAGTTGTGAAAAATATCAGAAGTATGGTGAATTAAACTCTGGATTTACCATGTTTACCTTCCATTTATGAAAGTGTTATAAAAAAGTACTCCCTGTTATAAGAAGGAGAGAATATATTAACCATCCTAAACACAACCTTTAATTGAAAAAGTTTCTCCAAATTGTTAAAATTCATTTTGTTTATAAATTATAAATTCCATATTCAATTACAAAACACTGAATATCCTCAGACTGTATACTTATATATAATGATGTTGTTAAAGAATAGTACAATAGGTATAGTAGATAAATTTTTACTTTGAACAGTTGAATAAAATCTATAATCTGTTTTATACAGATTTTTTTTCTTTTAAAATTTTCAAAAAGAACATATGAAATTTCACATGAAGGTATTGTTACTATATTTATAGCATTGTGATACCACTACCAGCAGAATTCCTGGAATACTTACACACAGATGGGGTGGTGTTGCCAGAAGGGTGAGTGTGTTGTGTAATTATGATGACAGTCAGAAAGGTCTGAGAAATATAACTGTGTTATTATGTCAGGGTTATCACAACTCTTTTTTAGACTGGGTCCAGGGCTGTTCAAAATTTGGAAAAATAGCAATCTCTTAGGAAATTTAGGTAAAATCATTTGAAATCATAATCGATGTGCTATATTGGGTTTCTAGTGTTTGTTTTCAACTAAATGTCTGTTTTTCAGTATAGAGGAATATGAATAACAAGTTCAGTTATTATAATATCTTACTGTATATATGTTCTTAAATTATTGGAAAATTAATTTTTGGGAAAATTTACATATTTAACTGGGGAAAAAATGTACCTTTTTTGAATTGGGAATGAAGCCTTTAAACGGCAACACTTATAGACAATTTAGAGCCCTGTATGTAATCATTATTACAGCCCTTGCTACTTGGGGCAGATGAATAATTTTTTATTAGCTATTTGAATTTTACACATTTTCTGGAGAGGATACCCTTAGTTCTGGAACTTTTGTCCAATCCAAATTGTTTTTAATAAATTATAAAAGAATGATTGCTGAATTCAGTGAAGTTATTTTTTTATTTAAGGAGTCTGGTAACATCAGGAGACAGGGATTCAGATGAAGACAGAGTTGGAGAAGAGGTAAAACTTGAATTTTAAATAGAATGGGAAACATTTTGGGGTATTACTAAGATTTGATATGAGAGTTATCTCCCTTACTTCATTCTGAATAACTTTGAAATGTCTCCAAACCATTTTTTCTTCATTTTTGATGTAAATTCACCGGGAAACTTTTAAGGAAGAGGAAGATAGGGGTCAGACACTTGTCTGGAGTTCAGGGAGTCCATTTTCAATTTTATGCCGTCTTCCAATTATATATCTCAGATCTCAGTTTTAAAATTTGATTGAGAAAAAATGGAGTTGGTAATTATTGATAGGTCTCACTCATCTGCATATAATCTTCCCTCTGTCAAGTTAACAATCAAGGATCAAAGCTGAGATGTTTATTGATGAAAAATGTTCAAATATTTGGAGCCTGGCGGTCCTACATGTCCTACAGTGCGATACTTTATCATGATGTATGATATATAATAGTATACAGTTTGTATTTGTTTGAAAGCATATTAAGTACATTTTTAAAATTATCTATTTTCTAAACATTGTATACAGTGGATCTGGTAGTCTGGATGCTTCAAGTTTTATAAGAAATTTGTGTGGATCGGAACTCACATTAATATCTACATGTAGCAATTATTAAAGTCACATTTCCAGGTGTGGATCCAGGAATTTTTTACAGGGGGAGGGGTGGGTCCACTCCAGTCAAAAAAATATTTCTGATCCATAAAGGATCACTTCTTTATAAATGGAGCTTGGACCTATAGGACCGGGATTGGTTTTAATCATTACAAAAAGCTTAATTGTTGATTTCGTTGATGACTTTAGACTACATACATGTGATAATTCGTTTTCATTTTATTACAGTATGTAGAGATAGGTGGAACCTTTCCATAGACATTTATTAAGAAGCATGATTATATTGTCAACACATTTTGAGTTTGTTATATCAAAATGTTACTTGATTTTTTCCCCTTACTTTTCACTGCAATAATGGTAATGTCTATATTCCTATTTGTTTTCTTGATGTGTGTTTATTTTACAACAAATCTCCTTTGATATAATAAAACATGCCATTGATGTATACAAATTATAAAAATTAAATCCAAGGGAGTGTAGATACTGATATGTTATCCTACTGTTTGAAAACTTTAGATCAGAAATTTATTGACTTGGTACATGCATCTTTTTCTAAATATATTTTTTAAGCTCATATAATACAAGTAGTACGTATTACTATACTTTCCAGCGCAATAATGCAGACAAGAACTAGTAGTACAGACAGAATAAGAGCAATGTAATACATTAAATTAATTAAATTCTAAGGAATATATATATAATCCGGACTTCTTGGTTAGGGAACCCAGTTAAGCATTTATATATCGGTCTGGGACCCCGATGGATTAAGCAGACTTTTTCCGGTCTCCCTAATATTTTAACTGATCATTAAGGCAGTGTACTTTGTGGTAAGATGACTGATGTCCTGAAATAAGACTCTTTCGTAATTGTTTTTTTCAATGCAACTATAATTTCTGCATTTTTTATTCGCATAGCGAGAAATAATTAAATTATTTATAACCCGGCATATATTTTCATAGGAATATATATATCTATTAAGTCGCCCAGAGAAAATGTGCAATATTAAACAAAATCCGCTATATATGAATAGTTTTAATTAATATCCCATTTAGTTTACTCATTTCCTATATTTTCTTACCTTTCATTCATTCGTGAGTTCAGTATTTAAAATTTCGAAAATTCATGGTCTACAAATGACTCATGTTTGTCTGGCAATAAGTTGCCTGGTTTCCGGTCGACCTGGAGAACCAGAAAAGAAGACGATGGCAGACGCCTCGAAGTGCTTTGGATCCTTTTTTGTAAGTATAAATCTGTTACTTACTATCATTTGCAGCTGTTTTTTTTTATGTTTTATACGTCTTTTGTATATTATTTTCCCCTTTTTTATACGATGCGCTTGCATAGCAACTGTGAACGTCGAGGAAATTCTGAATACACATTTTTAATTTCTTTTCATTCATAATGATACATCTTTTTAAAAATCATCAAATATTTATATATTTTAATTAATTATTAAGTTGATGGATGCTCATGGTTTGACGTTCGAAACATGGATATGATTGACGCATTATTTAAAGAAGCTGATAGTAAGCGGAGGGGGGGGGGGTGTTTCTTGTGTACGAGAATCTGGGACTTGTGTTTTGAGATACAATAACAAACGATTCTACAAAAATTAATGCAACACAAGCCACCTCCTTCCTTTTATGACACTCTTTAATTTTTGAACAATGAGTAAAATTTGGTTTAAGATTTGAACAAGACTTACAATGTCATATATTGTCAAAGACTACTTCTACAATTACATGTTCAAGAATTTAAGGTATTGCAGAGGTTTTTACTCTATTCTGCAGTTTTCAATGATGTAAACAGTTTCTGTCTATAATTTTAGATATTATACGTTAAGATATGTTATTTTGTAGTAACAATAATTTGACTATTAATACATGTAATTTTCTGAGGTACTACATTTGATAATTTTTAGGTATAAATGATTTTTTAATATTATGTCATAATCTGTTTTATCAGCATATATCATAATTATATAAATAACAACTCAAATATGAATCTGGGTCTTCAAGGTCTTTAAGTGTATAATTCCTTTTCACTGCCTAAAAAGCATTAAAATAAAATTTGTTATGTTCCCCAGAAACATAATATTAGGAGGTAAATCTATTATTCGTATTTTGAAACCAAAATCCTGGATGAATATGAAATTTCTATTACCTTAAAAAAATGTTCTTAAAACAGTTTCTATATCCTCCTTCCCCCTCATGTGTGCCAAAATTAAGTAAAGGTGAAATAATCATTATTTTTTTTGTTAGAAATTGCTTTTATTATACATAAAATATACATAACACAACTCACAAAAATGATTTAAAAAGGACCCAAATCCTGGGGGCTTAAAGGGGCTTTTGTCCTTTACCCACTGGGGCCACAAGGTGGCCCTCACTGGCTCAGACCCCATTATTAGCCTGTTGAACCCCCTTTAAAAAAAATCCTGGGTCTACCAAAGATAATTTTGAAGTCTTTATATGAAATGATAAAATGTATTTGTTAGCAAAAGAAAAAGGATATAAAATTGGGGTAGTGTACCACAACTACCCAATTAAAAAAAAAAATCAATAAAATTCTAAATAGAAGATTTAAATGTCAAAAAAGCTTCAAGATAAGTATACATACCCGGTACATATTTTTGTTGTATGATACATGTACTTACATGTATATTATAACTCTGCTAATTGATGTATAAATAAAATTGGGTTTACTTGTACTTACTTCTTACTTATATGCCTCTTTGGGGCACACTGTACCAATTAGTATGTTATGAAGTACTTTAAATTTATTAGTATTTTTACTTACTAATTACTTATCACAGGCACTTGTTTCAGTAATAAATTTTTTAACCCTTAGTATAGTAATAACGCAATATTATTATACTATGGGTTAAATTTTTTTTATCGAATCAAGTGCCTGTGTTACTTATACCTTTTGGGGGTGGGTGGGGGGGGGGCATATGCCACCCACAAGATTTTTCCAGGACTCAATCCTGTGCAATCCTTAAATTAAAATCATTAATAAATGAATATACATTTTGGTGGGTTCTGGTGCATCCTTGAGGTCATTTTTCACATATAAAATAAAGAAAATCTGGCAGTATTACTTTAAACAAATGAATTATGATTTACTCTGTTTCAAAAATGATATTTTTGAGTGTTTCTTCAAGGGGGGGGGGGGGGGGGGGGTCTGCTCTTAGGATAGTCAGGTTCAACTGAATTCCAGCAACACAAAGTTAAACAATTTGAAAGATAAATATTTGATGTGAAATTTTATTTACAAGGAATAAATGAGAAACATGTACTTCCAGTTGTACTCAAAATAATGGGGAAAATGTGATTTATATGATTAATGAAAATTTGAAGGAGTTTAAAATTTTATTAAAAATTACTTAGAAGATATGGATTTTTGAGAATTCCCATGAATTTAGATCGGGTTCGAAATTCTTAATGTTTCAATATGGCGCCTAAATGCAAAGATTTGGGTAAGTTACTAGGAATTCATTGAGCACTCTCATAATTTGTACCGAAGTCAATATGGAGTGGTCAGAAACGGGAAGATGGGCTAAGTTGCCAAGAACAGTGGACGTAAGAACTCACACAAGACAATCGAAACAAACAAGTATGGTTAAAATAATGTCCGTCGAACTCAGTAGCATCAGGGGTAGACAAATAGAATTTGTCAGTACTTGCCCTCGGACAGGTTACCATCGTAAAATTACTTGTCCTACCAAAAAATATGCTTGTCCCACCTTTTCCTTAAATAACACAAAAATAAAATATTATCATTAACATTTAGGACCAACCTTGACCCAAAATCACAAATCTCCCATGGAGAAATTAAGGGGAAATTTCTAATTCTAGGGAGACTTCCTCGCGTCTGCGCTGTGCAATGATTATTAAACTTAAAATTTTAAATACATGTACATGTCAATGTATATACATAAACATGTACTTATACATTTCTCTGTATTTTTTAAATGAAAATAATACACCTGTATTTACATTTAATATTGTGTTATGAAAAATTAAACACTCCTGAATGTCAATTAAGGGTTCAACTTCATGACTGTGTGTGTTCGCCAGTCAACACCTCCAATTTAACAACAGCCACATTTGTTTGTATCGTGTATTCACGGCATGAATTCTACATTTTGACAAAAGAAAGGTCCAAAACCCTCTTCAACTTTTTTGACATGACATTGATACCTGCCATGTTCTACTTCTCATGCATATTTTATCAAAACATGAATGGGCAATTCTAGAGGAGTTCCTACTGAGTGTTCGATGTAGCGGTCAACTGCATCGAAAACAGATGTTTTGCTGTGATTCATTATATTTTAACAGCGGTAAAACAAAACAACATTTGAGTATATGATTTTTTGTTAACTGGAA